AAGTGTTTGTTGTTTTCTATCCCCACAAAGAACCATGCGATTTATTTAAATTAATAGAGTTCAGTATATTTGACTTATTTGTATGTCACGTGTCAACTACTAACTTGAGTTTTAATTTATAAAGCTCTAAAAATGTTACCGACTGGTGTTTTAGTGAATTTCCTGCAAATATGGAAAAAATAAAGGGTCTCAGTTAAATATGTGCAGTGTCACATGGTTAGTGCAAATTGTCACATGACCAGAGCAGTTTAATTCATGTTTGCACCATGAGCGCATCAAAGCTCCAGTACAAAAGGCTATGTTAAAAAAGATTTTTGGTACATGTTATCGTTAAGGTGTCTAGCATTAATATACGAATTCACAATAATTCAGTTTTGTTGAGTGTTTTCATAGAACGAGTAAACATGTTGATGGCAACAATAGTGTCCGCTGGGATAATAGTGCGTTTAGGTATACATATAAATCCAAGTTGCACTAAAATGTTGCAATGAAAAAGTTACAGTGAATATTACACTAAATTAAAAGTTCAAATGTTACAAATAAGTTACAATACTGATGTTGTAATACTGGTAGCACTAATATAACAATTTTATGAAATATGTTACAATAATGTAACAATTTCGAAATCTCAACAATCTCAGTATTCCTATCAGCATTGTATAAGGGTTTTTATGCATAATAGTAACCCTAGAATGTGATCAAACTTTAATTTTTGCACACACTTTTCAAAAAAATCAAAAATAAATTAAATAATTAATATTTCAAAGGGTTACTAATGACCAGTGTTGGGGGTAACGCATTACAAGTAACGCGAGTTACTTAATCAGATTACTTTTTTCAAGTAACTAGTAAAGTAATGCATTACTTTTAAATTGACAAGAAAATAAGTAACGCCAGTTACTATGTTTTCTCATGTATTGACTGATAGCTCTCCTGTCCAGTTGAGATAAATCGGGAGTAAGTGCAGAGGCATTGTGTGAACATGATGTTACTGCAGTTCTAGACTAAATGCCAACATGTATTTACTCATCTCACTCGCACAAAAACAGATTCAATATTCCTCAAAATGAATAAAAACAGTCAAATGCAAACTCAGGACATGACGCAAACATGTTAAATAACACAAATATCCTTTATTCCATTTTATTAACCAACGTCTTTGCTGCTGACCTTAGATGATCAACCATACTAATAGTGAACAGTCAGATGTTTTTTATGTATTCAACCTTATTTTGTTCCTGGCTAAATATTTTATGCATAAATGTAAATTTTGTAAGTGAAAGCCTTTCTTTAGAATTTTTACATTTAAATCTCTATATGTGTATGATTTCTGAGTCTTCTAATAAGAAAGCTGTAAAAACTGTGAATTTGTTCAAAAGGTACATTATTGTCTTGCTCCCTGGCATATGATTTAGGCCTACTGTCATTCTGTTATACATGTTATAAAAATAAAATACTAATAAGAAAAAATGACTTCAGAGAAACATAACATTTGTGTTATTGAGAGAAAAAAGTTATGCAAAAGTAACATAATGCATTACTTTTTTTTATTTAGTCATTTATCCAACGCGACTTACAGATGAGGACAACAGAAGCAATCAGTTGTAGTATTAAAACATCTAAAAACAGATCCAAAACTAGAAGCTACAACTGTATAAATACTACCTATACACATTTTAAAAATAAAGAGATTAAATAAAAGTGACAAATGCATACAACAAAATTTCCAAACTTAACATTTAAATGAAAAAAAAAATAAAGCTAAAAACAATTGTATATAACAATTATACAAAATATTAAAGAACAAAAGGTATAAGAGCATAATGATTCTAACATAACACTAAGCCAAACACCAAAAAAACAACTACATATGTGTATGTACAACCACACACACATACATATATACTGTATGTGTACATACACATTTATAAATGCAATATATATTATTTCATTTCCATTTAGTTTGTTGAAGTATTAAAATAACTCAAATGAAATAAAACTAAAAACTTAATAAAATACCTATACAGACATAATCAATTCAGACATAATTTAACTCAAATTAAAATAAAGAACAAATACAAATAATACAAATCAAACGGCAGTAGTTTATCAGTAATCCTAAAAAACAACACAAACTTACATGCTAAAAAACAACAACTTACACATTGTAAGAAATGGTTATAAAAACTGAAACAGAAGTGAAACAAGTATTATTATTTTGTATCTTTTTGTACATGCATAATAAGCTTTGGCAATAATGTATCATTTACAGTCATGCCAATAAAGCAAGATATTAAGTAGCACATGAAGGTTTTGAAGGAGAGAAGACGAGCTGCAAGTAGCCAGATATGATCGATAAAAGTGGGTAGAGTTCGCTATCATGTGGTTAAACGTGGAAAATGTTCTGTATTAAATTGCTGCATCTTAACCAAGAACATACTTGCATTATTTTGCCAAGAAACACATGCTAGAATTTGCCTAAGAAACACATTTATATTTTTTTAAATAGATTTTTATATGCATCTACATGCTAATTGAAAATAACCTATAAAAACACAAATCAGAAATGAGTCAAAATGCATTTTAGTATCACTTAGATACTATTGTAGTTTTTATTAATATATTAATAGTAATATTTTTAATCAGTTTTTGTATTTTCCATTTGAGTAATTTTGCTGTTTGAGTCATTTTTTTAGTAGTTTCTGTTTTAAAATGTCTAGATAATGTTTATTTTTATTTCAGTTTTAGGTATTTTAGCCAATAGTTTTTATCAAGTTAAACTAAATTAAAATGAGAATGTTGCCTTGACAACTGACTGAAAACCTTTCAACACATTTACATTACAAATACAAAGTTTTCTATATATTTTCCAGTTGCCGTTTATTTTAATATTTAATATTATTTTAATATTTTAGTTTACTATAATAATCCTGGCATAAACTACTAGTTAGATTGCATTGGTTGGTCAAATATCAAATGTAAGTATTTAAACCCTCAGCTTGTAGTTAGTCTTTTTAGCCACTAGGGCGCAGCACTAACACATGAGCTGCTATAATCTCATTATATCGATGATCAGAGGAGATATTGATGTAGTAAAACTCATTTTCAATGTGGTGTATGCAAATTTCAATGTTGTTATATTTTGCATATTCAGTTAAACATTGAGTTATGATTTTTTCTTGTTACTCCATTATATTTACTGTTTTATGATACTTATATATTCAGTATTACTAATTTTATTATTCCTTTTTCATGCATTCCATTTATAATCATATTCCATAGTGGTCTGACGTGTAAAGGGTATATTTTTGTTATGGAAAGATGTTGAGCACGAAATATTTTTATGTGAAGGATGTTCTTTCCAAGAGCTGGTGTTTGCAAGATGAGATTTGAAGATTGCTTAACTCTGTTGTTTCTGCTGGAAGGATGTAAAACCACAACCATATCTCTATTTTTATCTGACTTCTATCTACTGCATTTCACAGGTCATGTCAAAGTGACCTAGTCCTGAACTTAATTCAGATGAGGTAGGAGAAATATTTGATCCAGACCAAAACATCTGGTGATGTAATCTCTAGTATATATTATTCCAGCTTCTTCTTTTCTTCTGCTCATATCACATGCTCCAAAGGCCTTTGTCTTTTGACTTCTGAAGATTATTATATGTTAGATTAGAGTACTCAAGTAGAATATACTTAGTTTTATACTCTTTTTCTTTCATTTCTGTAATTGTTATCATTTATGATGGTCTTAAAATAAATTACAATTTTATCTGAAAGACTTGGATTTCACTGCATCACACTGTAATATTATCCTGATATGTACACAATGCCAGATTAAGCTTAATTTACCTGCCACTCTGAATGAATAAGTCCACGTTCAAGTAGGCTAAAAATGCAGGAAATTATACACCATATAGATCTTTATTTGACAGAATGCAAAAAAGCACAAACGAACAAAACAAAGAAAATAAGCTACATTCAAAACAAACATTTTCTTAAAGTGCTGGAAGAATATCTCTCACACAAAAATAGAATCAAAAGAACTTTATCTGGAAAAAAAAAAAAAGAGAACAATTACTCTTACACATAAAATTTATATTTATAAAAACCTTTCTGTATAGGCCACACACTGGAAATTATTTATCATTGTTCTGGACGGTGTAATAAAATAAAAGCTCAGGTGTTTATGGGCAAGACTGAGTCAGTAGTATTTGTGTGGCGTAAAGGAGGTAGCATTTCATTTAATAACAGCTGGCTGTCTGACCAACTTAAAACATACAAATTAAACCGCAGTACCTGCCAAACTAACCATCTCGACTAAATACAGTTCTTGCTAATAAACCACACATATATTCCAACAAACACACATTTAAGGCACATAAACCCTAAATACTTTAAAATAGTTTTTAAAATGTGCTCTAAAACGATGCCATTCGAGAGTCAAACATGAATTTCACTTTGGTTGCCGTAGAGATGTGTTTCTGCATATTATGGGGTGTCAGATCAGAGCTGAAACGACAGGAGTGGATTTCCATCTACATATGTTTCTTATGTAATACAGTAACAGTCCTCTTAATGTAAATATGAAGTGGAAACAGAACAGCAGGCGTTTGCAAGCGTTACATGATCTGAACGCCCTGCAGAGCATCTGCATCATACATGAAGACATTAAACACACACACTTACTGCTTTTATAACATTCTGCTGGTTTTTCTTATGAAGTACATTGACATACAGCGAATAAATGATTTGTGGAATTAATAAGTCATGTTGATCCATTTATAACTGAATAAGGAGTCAAATCAGATTGCGTAACAGATATGAACTGACTTAAAATAACTTATTAAACACAAACGATGATATGAGTTTGCAGATAACCGTGCATGATTTTAAACAATTAAGCTAAACCTATAAATGCTTGCTAACCGCTCAGCTAAAATAATGATAATTACAGTAGCTAAAGAGGAAATTAAAAACGTGTTAATTATTATTTTTTTAATGTAAAATGTATCCATTTCCAGGCATATCCTGATGATTTTTAGCATGGCACAAATGAAAGCTTGAGAGGAACATTTTGGCAGATGCCAAGAAAACAAATTATGTCATATTTAATTTAATTTAAATGAAAATGAGGCCGTTAACGACAGATGTGCGACAGATTAATAGGTTGTACCGAATTAAAAGTCTCATTTTCATAGCTTTGCCTCTAATAAAACATATTGTCAATGTTTGAAAACATATTTGCAATACTTTAAAATATACAACCAATTAAACAGACTGCACAGCCTCATTTTCACTCGAATCAAATAAAATATGGCATCCGACTAAATCCATGTATGATGAGTGCTGCAGTCGCAACTACATATCCGAGCACCAATGAAAGCAGAGATGGATGTTTTTACCGATGCAAAGCAAGCCAACAGGCTATGTCATATTTAATTCAATGTAAATGAAAATGAGGCTGTTAAAGATAGCTGTGTAGTGTGTTTATAGGTTGTAGTCTCATTTTATTAGCTTGGCCACTAGAAACATATTTTTAATGTTTGAAAACGTATTTTCAACATTTAAAACATTCAACAAATCAAACAGACTGCACACGTCACAGCCTCATTTTCACTTAAATAAAATTAAATACGGCATCTGAATAAATACCCCAGCATTCTTAGTTCTTTACCCTTCTCTTATTGTTCATCTCAAAGTAGGGTTCGTCACGTTTGCTGGGTTTCGTCCGTGCCGTGTGTTTGTGGGTAGTGCTCGTAGGTGCTGGTTTAGTAGCGGTGCTCTGGACAGGAGGGTTACTGCTGACTAGAGGTTTCCTGTGGGTTGTTTTAACGTTGACAGACGTGACGGTTTGCGTAGCACAAGCTGTGTTCTGCTCTACAAATTTACTCTTGCAGGTCACAGAAGGTTTTGCGAGAGGAATCGTCTGTTTGGGGTCATTCGGAGCCAAGCGAGGGGAAACGGGACGGCCCTTCCTAGAATCTAAGTGCAGGGCGGAGACAGGGGAAAGAGGGCGTCTCTGGGCGAGCCGCGAACGGACGGGTGCCGGAGGAGGGCGGCTGTTGCGCTGGGCAGGTTTCTGCGCAGATGTCGGTGGGGCTGAAGGTTTAGGCAGCTTGCAGGTGGGTTCGGGACAGACGGGACTGTGAGGTTGAGATGGAGATCCACGCGGGTGCAGTTTGGTCTTGGAGGTGGCGGAAGGGGCTTTTTGGGAAACCCCAGTCGGGGTTGACTGGGGAAGCGGGCTTCTTTTCGGGACGGGCGATGAAAGAGGGGTGGTTCTCGGTGAAGCTGTGGGTGTGTGAAAAATCTTCTTGGGTGCGGCAGCCTTTCGAGGCATTAAGGGCGTGGAAGCGGGTGATTGGGTGACACTGCGGGGCGTGGAAGCTGGCGATTGGGTGACGCCGCGGGGCGTGGGCAGGTTAGGTTTAAAAATGGACATCGTGGAGGATGACGATGAAGAGGATGATTCTGGGAGGAGGTTAATGGCTGCGATGGGATCCATCGTGGGCGGCTGCGCGGCCTGCACGGTGTGGGCGGGGCCTGGGCCGGACGGGCCTTTCTGATAGGCTAGAATCTTCTGCTCTAGAGTGGTGAACTGCAGCACACGATCAGGGTCGTATTTCAGCAGAAACCCTTTCAGAGTGTCCCAACCTCCACCGACACGCACCATCACATGCTTCCCATGGAGCATCTAAGAGAGAGGATTTGAATTAGTAAGCAAACACAGAATTAAATACTAGTGATGCACTAACATTTATTTTGACTGAAATCAAAATGAAAGTATATTTAATAATCAAATGTACTTAATATTCAACGTTCAAATAAAAACTAAGATGTATATAAATGAAAAGTATGTAAAGACTATGTTTTTATTTAGCCAAAAACCAAAAATAAAGTTTACTCATTTAATCAAATTTACTTAATAATCAACAAAAAACAAGACATTACATTTTTACCGAAACCCCAAAACCGAAGTTTTTATTTAGCCATAAAACTAAAACCAAAAAGATTTCATAATCAATTAATCAAATTTATTTAATAATCAGACTCAAATAAAATCTGAGTTGTACTAACATATAAATTGCACATTAGGCAGTTTTTATATCAGCTTTTTAATTATATAATTATGTTTGAACTCCAATTTGTTGTTGAAATATAAATACTTGTTTTCATGACAGATTAATACATATTAATACATAATGAAATCAACAGGTTAAGTAAAAGTATAATGAATATGTAATAAGTGCATATATTTATCATAATGCTCCTCTCTAGAGTTATTTTTTCTAGCCGAGTTTATGGATATTGAATGGCTTTTCAGAAGTAAATGTGACGTTATTGTTTACAAGCTGTTTTGTCGACATCTTTCTGTGGTTGAAACACTAACCGAGTGATTACATGAGACATGAAGCATTTCAGTAAGTTGTTTCGTTCAATAAACTTTTTGATGTTCATTCATGTTTACTTCATGCTATAACTAGCAGCAAAAAGGAAGAGATGATTTCAGCCCCCATTTTTGGCCGAATATTTTCATCACTATTATATACACTTGTTTCATTGGCATGTAGTGTGACCGCAATGTTTTATCAGGAAGCACACGTTCAATCTGGATGTGCGTGTGTGTGTGAATGTTATGACAGTTCAGCACATGCTGGTTAAACAAACTAGATTGGATTTAGTAGACTGCTACAGTAGACTATAGACAAGAAAAGTGCGCTCAGATGAGTGTGTTTGCATAAGGTTTATCTGCTCTACTGCAATGTGATTTAAACAGAATGAAAACAAGATAATGTAACAGTGTTTTAAATGCTTAAAATAGGCATGAAATACAAATTTACTCTATCTACATTCTAAATGAAACTTATATATGCATATTTCTTTTGGACCTCATAATGTTTAATGAAAATATCCTATCTGGATCTTCCAGTGGAGGCGGGGTTTAATAGCCCTAAACATCTAGGGCTATTAAACCCCGCCTCCACTTTTAAGAGCCACGCCCACATCTCAACATCCAATCAACAACTGATACATAGAACCAAGTCCCGCCCTACATTTGTCTCTTTTCTGATCGTTTACACTCAGACGTTTGTCACAATATGGAAGAAAAGATCTGTTGCTACTTCCACTTTATCGTGATTTCTAAAGCGGTCCCAAAATCTGCTCCTACCCTGATGAACAGGATCCTGTCTCCAAGCCTGTAGCGTCCCTCAGACAGATACTCGATGGAAAACTTCTGTGTGCAGTTACAGGGAGGGTCGTCCTGGTCCGCACGATCCTACAAATGAGAAGAGTTTGTTTGGGTGAAATGAGAGAAAAATTCAATCAACTGCAAGATGGAAATAGAACAGCTAGTTTGCAGATAGTGTATGAACGTTTAGCGCTGTTCTGAACTCAGGACCCAAGGGTGTCCTGCTGGTTATTTGGCTGAGAGACAGTGAATATGAATATGAATACTTCTGTGTGCAGTTACAGGGAGGGTCGTCCTGGTCCGCACGATCCTACAAACGAGAAGAGTTTGTTTGGGTGAAATGAGAGAAAAATTCAATCAACTGCAAGATGGAAATAGAACAGCTAGTTTGCAGATAGTGTATGAACGTTTAGCGCTGTTCTGAACTCAGGACCCAAGGGTGTCCTGCTGGTTATTTGGCTGAGAGACAGTAAATATGTTAGCGTTTGGGGCAAAATTGTGCCCCATGTGAAACATGTCTCTAAACAACAGCTGCTGTTTACACACTCAATAGACAATAGCAAACCCAACTGGGTCAGAATGAAGACAGATGCTGAGCCTCATCATGGAGGAAAATCCAACAAATAAAACATTTTCTCAAAGCTAGCAATTCTCCTGAACATTTACAATATTACAGATGATTGCCGGGGTTATTTAGAATCATCGAGTCATTTTGATGGGAGTTTTTGTCATTTTATTAGTTCCTTTTTTTCTATATAGGTTTGAAGTTTTAGTTTACTTAGTTTTAGTTATTTTAATACTGCAACGGCAACTAAAATGAGAAGTTTTGCCTTGGCAACTAGGTGAAATAAAATGTTTTTATTTTATTTTATTTCAGGTAATGTTTATTGAATATGTATTTAATGAATATGTTTTATGGTTTTAGTTTCAGTTCACTATAATAACCCTGGATTAAGCCTACAATTAAAATGTGAAATGGGTAATGCTTTTCTACAGAAAACATATTAGCATTAAAATTATATTATACAGTATGTGGAACAGAATACTTTTTGCAGTCTGATTTTAGATGTTAAAATTTGTAGTTTATCACTTCCAGCTCATTTGTTACTCTGAAATTGGGAGGTCAAGTTGAGTGCATTGCATTGTGGGAAACAGTATCTGACGCACACACACAGTTTATGGAGACTCTCCATAGGCATAATGGTTTTTATACTGTACAAACTGTTTTTTCTATCCCACTACCCCTAAACCTACCTCTCACAGAAAACTTTCTGCATTTTTAGATTTTCCCAAAATAAAATAAAAAACACCATTTAGTATGTTTTTAAAGCCTATTAAATTACAGGGAAACAGGAAGTGTCCTCATAAACCACCTTCATATTGTAATACCCGTGTCATACCTATGCCATTATACAAGTTTGTGTCCTCATAAACCACCTAAACTGGTGTGCACACACACACACACACACAGTGTGTGTACTGCTGTATGCTGCACATTTAACAGGTTGTCATTTGGATAATGCATGCATACAGAAAACTGCCCTTTTTTGCAGCTATACATACTGCATACAAACTATAAAAAGTCTTAAGGCAATGTTTCAACTCAAACTAAAAGGCTGATCTCAGTGTGTGTGTGTGATACTCACAGCGTGATACAGGGCTCCGTGCTGACAGCACACAGTGAATGTTTTCACTGGAGACGAGTGATCAGTCATCATTAGACTTTCCTCCAGTTCGATTTCCTTCTCCAGTTTAACCAAAACCGGAGGCTCTATCCCAAACCTAAACCAAAAAACCAAACACCCCATCAACACACTGTCTTAACAGTTCTGTTTCTATTCTAACCAGCTAATCATGACATAATTATATATACAATATGCAATTAAATATTTGTGTATAATGACCATTCAATTGCATAAATGACTGCTGACTTCCTCACATAAAATCATGTCAAATTTATATAAAAAGGTAATAAGGAAGATAATATACATTCAGATGGTTATTATTACAAAATAGACCCCTTTACATTATACATTATCCTTAACTTACAGTCACTGTTGTGTTCTTCTAGTAACTCTATACATTCAGATTCTCTACAGCACAATAGCTGCTCTAAGCGCTGAAGCCAATTCACTTAAATCCTCTAAAATCCACGCAAATTTGCCCCCGACCCAACTTTAAAGCCCCTAAAGCAGCCCCTGACCTGTGACCCCAAAGCATAACCTGACATCTGTCACCTGCGGGATCATCAGAGCCGGTTCGCTTACCTGGAGACGACGCGTCCGATCTCCAGCAGGCACAGACACACCTGCCGCGGCTCTTTATGCAGGACTGGGGAAGGGAGGGAGAGCCGTTACCATGGTTACTTAGCCTTCATTCATTGTCAAAGTTATTAAGGCTACAGAAGACATAAGTGAATAGGGTAAGGTTTTAACTAATATA